TTACTCAGATGTTATTGGAGAGGTAGTTGGTAGAGATGTGCCAAAAACTAAGGAAGTTTCCGGGCGAATGGCGAAGCTCATAGACATCGAGATCGAGGACCTTGAGTATGGATGTTTTGTCTCTTGAATACTCTTTGTATTTCCGCTATATTTTTTTAAATGAGCACTTTTATCTTTATAGGAAAAATCGGCTTCCGTGTACGTTATGGGGTGACTTCGTTGACGAAGTTGATGCTAAGTTAGTTGAAAATAATGGGGAACCTGTAATTCTATTGCTACAAATGTGTCGTGCAAAGGGTTTGAATGGTATAAGGGTTCCTACATTTCTGAAATATATACATATGGTCTCTAAGGGAATTTTTTGTGTCATTAACTAACTATTTAATTTTTTAATACAGGGGTATATAGAGTCTGCAACACATTTCACGTAACTAAAATGATAATCAACGGTAGTTGTGACGAGGTGACTGATTTTCGTAGCAAGTAATGCCTATTCTTTGTGCTCTCCACTTGCTAATATCTACTACTTTATGAATCATTTTTTTATTTACAATATGTTTTCTTTAAGGCTGTTGGATGGAATGGAAACAAGCTCTCAAAGAGTCAGTCTCCTATCTTCGTCTACTGTTTACATGGTGTCAGGTGATCTTGAGATGGGGAATGCTGAAATTAGAACCATTGACCAATTAACATCCGCTGGGGAGGTAAAATAATAAGCTCTAATTGGCTACTGTCTTGCACCTTCTAATATATATTTGCAATTTTATAAAAATCTCTAATCATGTTGTTTTCGTTTTATTTTTTTGCATGCATAGGTTGGTAGTTTCTGGGTACTTGCTACTGTGTGTTCAATCGAAACTGAACACAAATGGTGGTATTTGTCTTGCAAAAGGTGTCCAAAGAAGGTCAATTGTGTTGGGACAAGATTTTACTGCGAAAAATGTGATCGTTTTGACAATTCTGGGCATCCAAGGTTTAGTGTTCACGTTTTAATTTTTAAATTATATGCATGAAAGAAAATAATTTGTTTTTGAATTATTTCCCTAAATTTCAACATGTAATTTCGTGTTGTTAGATTCAAGGTACAAATGAGGGTGATTGCCGGGACAGGGAGCGCGTCCTTCCTTTTGTGGGATAGAGATTGCACTGAATTGATAG